TATATATATAATCGTGTGATGGGGACCCAGCTAGCGAAATGAGGACCACACCAACACTGGCAGTGGCTGCTAGATTGTCCAGACGGAAAGGGTACTATAAGGTGGACAGCTATACGTGGATCCTGTATTCGAGTTTCAGAGATGTAGCAGGCGTCAATCAACAGAGTACCTAGAGTACATGAAAGAGTAAATTGTTGGCCGATCTTCATTAAAAACAGGTAAACGAGGCCTGAATAGCGGATACGGCGCTATGTGTGAGCGGTGGCGTGCGGTGTGCCCAAGACCCAGATGTCTCACTCACGTGCCCACAGCTCGGATCTACATAAGTGATTGTCAGCTAGTATAGGATGGAAGTTAGATAACAATGAAGAAAGATGGCAAGCGTCAATGCCCCTATGTTTTCACTTACCTAAATCGCTGCATGCTGCGAATGGGGTGACCCGTCTGTCACCAAGCAACGGTCGGTATGATTCGACGGTACTTTTACCTATAAGGTCCTTATTTGTATACGTATATATCGCCAAGGCACCCTAATCTAGACAGGTTGGTTACGGTCTTCAATCAAAATCTTTGGCTCCAATATATGACCGAAAGATATTGGTGTTGTCTGAGATCAGTCACGCAGCCTGAATTTGAAGGAGCGAATTGCCACAGTTATTCCAACCCTAACCAGAAGAAGCTGTTTCTCGGACCTCAGTCCGCTGACCGACTGGACAAGAGAGAACGTGGATGTTGAATGGGCTACCAAGGTTCGCATAACGTCACACCAAGATATGACCCGGTCCGTCACGAAGAGACTGCGTATTACCGTGGTGCAGCCGTTCGTGTACCTTGGTGACCCTTCGGAATGTACTGGGAAGGGGTGTCCGCGCGACACTCGAAGAGTCTTCTACCAAGTTGGCCAGGAGTTAGAGGTCTAAAGAACAGTCTCCTTGTTATCCAGGTTGGGAGCTGAAAATGTGTGGCGACGTGTTCCGAAAAATAACACTGTAGTTGCATTTCCGGCCCAAAACTGCTGCCTTGCGGTCAGGATTTTGAGCTTAAGGAAAGAAAGAAAGCGTTCAGCTGTAGCACCCTTCCGGTGCCTAGCTGCCATGCTACCCGAAGGGAGCACGAGGGCTGAGACACTGCCAGGTTGCCCAAGCCTAGACAGGGGAAGTCGAGTGGCGGAGGTCGGATTCGAACCACGGACCTTCCGGTTAGTAAATTCGCGCTCTAACCACTTGCGCCATCTCGCCCCCTTGAGCTAAAGGGTTTAGTTGAGGAGCATAATCGCCCTCCTATATATAGATGGGCGCCCTGGCAGAATCCCAGCCCACTCACAACCATGACATTTACAGCTAACAACACTCTCATTCCACACCGGCGAGGTACCATCAACCGGGTCGCCCTACTTGCTGTATACAGCGTGCGGGTAGGCAAAAACACCGCACTGCTGACGCCTTCCTTCCTACGCTTTCACTTTTTCCCTCTTTCAACCTACACCCAAATTCGATTAGTCTCTCTGTAGGATTGACCGTTTTACTCACCCTGCATCATACTCAGCTGCAGCTAACGTATGTTTGAGTTCAGTAACAACCCTAAACACTTCGGTGTGTTTTCAAACCCTGTCAAACCTGCCAACTTGGCCTCATTTCACGTTCGTACACTAGAGCAAGCAGAGCTACGGGTGACTCTGGATTTCCTCTGCAGTAATGTATGCTATCTATCAGAAACAAGGATGCAGGACGCGAGTACCGTGACTGGACTCACTGCCGCTCGCGCTCTTCCAAGTTCCGGCTGCGCACCTTTGGTGATACAGAGGCCGCTGCAACTGGATATGCTGGGGTGTGTTGTACTGAGTTTGCCTACGAAAAGTGGTGTCCGACAATGATGCTCACTCCATTCTTATTCAACTTCACCACTGATGAAATAATGAGGCAGAAGCTGCAAAGTCTTCGAAACCCCAATGTTCAAATTGTTGCTGGTGAGAGCCCTGTCGATCTGGAGTACGCAGACGATATTGCCCTTATTTCTGATGACTAAAGCGAAGCATAAGCTCTGTTGAATAGACTGACCAGCACCATACCTTCTTTTGGCATGCGCCTTGCATCTTCGAGGTTTAAAAACATGCTTCAGAACGTACAGTCTCGG